AGACTTCTTAGAAGCTGGAAAGACCAATCTCAGGAGATGTACTTACCTTGTCCTTGATGAAGCTGACAGGATGCTTGACATGGGATTTGAACCTCAGATCAGAAAAATTGTGGATCAGATAAGAGTAAGTATCAATGGTTCATATGTTTATCACTATTACAGAAACAAATGCTCCTTTGCTTATTAAGGCAAGGCAGTGCAGTTAACTTTTAGAGGCTTATCTGGACAGATTGGGTTTTTCTGGTTGGGCATTTTGACTTGTCTATTGATCCTGTACTGACCTAGTCCCCTCCTCCAGCCTGACAGGCAGACTCTCATGTGGAGTGCCACATGGCCAAAGGAAGTAAGGCAGCTGGCTGAAGACTTCTTGAAAGAATATGTACACATCAACATTGGTGCGTTGGAACTGAGTGCAAACCACAACATCCTGCAGATTGTGGATGTGTGTCATGATGTAGAGAAAGATGACAAGTAAGTAGTCAGTGGGGACAAAGCATTCAGCATGTTTTTAATGGTTAATTTTGGTTTGTGGAATGAATTTGTCTTGATGGGGTTCTGACACTAGTCAGAAAACAGTAAAAAAAATGTAAAAATCAGGTTGTTTAAACTGTTTCAGTACAAACCAATCCCTGCCCTAACTATCAAATCTTCATCATAGACTTATTCGTCTGATGGAAGAAATAATGAGCGAGAAGGAAAACAAAACAATTGTTTTTGTGGAAACAAAAAGACGGTGCGATGATCTCACCAGGAAGATGAGGAGAGATGGGTGAGTCTGATCTCTTCAGCTTCACTGAGGCACTCCAGTAGTCTGAGCTCTTGGTTCTTCATGAGCAACCAGATGTGCTGTCAAAGCAGTCAAATACAGTGACACCAGGTGTTGGTGACAATGCTGTAACTAACTCTCAGAAGCTATTTACAGCCTGCCAGTAGCCCTGTTTTTGGCTACTGAAACTGCAGGTAATGATTTAAAGTTAATCAAGCTCTGTATTTTCAGGTGGCCAGCGATGGGTATTCATGGAGATAAAAGCCAGCAGGAACGGGACTGGGTTCTAAATGGTGAGTATTTCTGCAGTTTCTACAGACACATGATCTGTGTTGCTGAATGAAGAAACTGAGGAGCTGCTTGTTTTTCAGAATTCAAACACGGGAAAGCACCAATCCTGATTGCTACAGATGTTGCATCCAGAGGTCTAGGTTAGTACAACTCGTAATGCCAGTTGCCCAAAGCTATTTAAAGAAAGTCTATTGCTTTCTTTAACCTCTGCATTTTTCTAAGTTTTCTTCACATAAAGGTGCAGTCTTTGTGGCAAGGCCTAGGCATGACAATCGGAGGACTCGAGGGGGATGGAGGACTAGTGGAAGTGATCGGCTGGCTGCTTCCAGTCAAATAGAGAGGTGAAAGCTGAGAGCATTGTGTGCCAGTAATCTTCAAAAGGCAAAGATCATCCTTTTAAACTACTACCCCATAAACTGTTCTCTCATGAAATAAGCAGTTTCATTCACAGTTCACTTTGCCCTGGTATTTCTTTTCTCTCCATGCTTTGCATGATTTGCCATGGTGCAGTACTGTTAGTTTTGTGCATACTGTCTGCTGTGATCTGTGGGTCTTTGAATTTCAGTGAGTTTGCTGAAATGTTGAAGAAAATTATTACAATGTTCAATGAAATTTTTTTTCAACCATGAAATGGAGAGAGCAGCTTTAAAATGTACTAAGCCTTGTACAAATTGGTGAGTACTGGCACATGAAATCTGAGAAAAAGCCCACCTCTCACTTTAGCAAGTGGGGCAGGAAAGCAAATGGCTTTTCAAATGCCTTTGAAAGTCGAAGTTCCTCCACCTATACATAGTCGTCATGTCGAGACCTGCCAGAGAGAGACACATTCTCAAGTGAACCCTGGCTTCTTGGAAGCGCTTGCCTAGACGAGACACAGTGCATAAAAACAACTTGGTGACTTTGGGGGGACAGGTATGTTTTTCTTGCAGCTGCGGTTCAAAGGTCTTGGCAAGACGTGCAGTGTGGCCCCTTTTTTTTGAGCTTCTAATGAGTGTGTATGTGAAGGACCTTGTATGTTTTTACTCTAAGGTCCTCAAATGAGCACATGAAGAGGCTGCTGTGAGCTTTAGTGGCCCTACTGCAAGAAGCATTCAGATGTCACTTGATGATTTGTAGAGGGGACTCTTGAGTTGGGAATGACAAGCAAATGCATACTCCTTTATGGTAAGGTTTTGGATCACAGGGTGGGTGATGAGACGGGAACAGACGGAGTGTGCATAACTTTCTCTTCCACAATACTCATGCAGAAATGGATAATTCTAACACTGTTCTTTGCAGCCATTATTTCCTTTTAAAGTTCTATTGTCTAATGTTTATCTTCGATTTGGCTGTTGTGGTGTGCAAAACTTTGTACCTTGCTTTTTGCCACACTGCAACACTTTACAGATGTGGAAGATGTGAAATTTGTCATCAATTATGACTACCCTAACTCCTCAGAGGACTATATCCACCGAATTGGACGAACTGCCCGCAGTACCAAAACAGGCACAGCATACACATTCTTTACTCCTAACAATATTAAGCAAGTAAATGACCTCATCTCTGTGCTTCGGGAGGCTAATCAAGCCATCAACCCCAAATTGCTTCAGTTGATTGAAGACAGAGGTTCAGGTTAGTACTATTCTTGACTACAGTGCATAGGTTTCTTCTCAGAATTAAATGGAAACTCAAATTCCAACTCCAGCCTCCAGAATGGATGTAAAAGGTGGCTTAGCCACCAGTTGTGGTGAGCTGAAAAGGTATTTCCTAACACCAGTAGCAAAAAGGCCAACATGGGTGCACTTGTGAGTAGTGCTGGCCAAAGATTATGCATTTCAGAGTGTTTGCTCTGAAATTTAACCCTTCAGGGCTCACATTTTTGGCCTTCTCTGATATGGCTAAGGAGGATGGACATAAGTGTTTCAGGAGCAAGATGAAAGTTATTTTTTTTTTGTCACAGGGGAGAATGCAACTTTTCAGGCAGCTTTCTCTTCTAACTAGAGAAGCTTAGCACCTGGAAAGCTGTGCTAGATTGGCCTTGCTGGGACAGAAAGGGAGTATTTTTTCTTAGGTGAACTCATTTGGTGGCATGTGAAATGTGGCCTTCCTGCTGTGTAACTGTGTCTTGTCTTTTTTGAATAGGTCGTTCCCGAGGTGATCGCCGTGACAGATACTCTGCGGGCAAAAGGGGTGGATTTAGTAGTTTTAGAGAGAGGGAGAACTTTGAGAGAAACTATGGTCCACTAGGAAAGAGAGACTTTGGAGCAAAAACTCAAAATGGGGCCTACACTGCCCAGAGTTTCAGTAATGGAACACCTTTTGGGAATGGCTTTGCAGCTGCAGGCATGCAGGCTGGCTTCAGGGCTGGTACCCCTGCCGGGGCGTATCAGAACGGCTACGAGCAGCAGTACGGCAGTAACATTGCCAACATGCACAATGGCATGAACCAGCAGCAGTATGCATACCCTGCCACTGGTGCTGCTCCCATGATAGGGTACCCAATGCCCACAAGTTATTCCCAATAACTTAGTGTATTTAAATGTCTCAGTTTTTCATAATTGCTCTTTATATTGTGTGTTATCAAAACAGGATAGTTATTTAAGAAATGGGAAATGCAGAAATGACTGCAGTGCAGCAGTAATTATGGTGCACTTTTTCGCTATTTAAGTTGAATATTTCTCTACATTCCTGAAACAATTTTTAGTTTTTTGTACTAGAAAATGCAGACAGTGTTTTCAAAGTTAAATGTACAGTGATTTGAAATACAGTAACAGAAGGCAGTGCATGGCCTTCCAATAAAGATATTTGAAGACCGAATTTTCTTTCGGATGGCAATTTTCTCAACATATGCACAACTTTACATTAATGGAATGTCAAATGTTTTTATATTAAATTCTAGAAAGGTTTCTCAACTGTGTCTGATTAAACATTTACGCTTATACAAAAACCAGCCTTGCCTTGATTGGGCTAGATTGCTTAGCATGGCAGGCTCTGTTTGGATGGGGAAGAAAACTAAAGCTGGCTTCAAAGTAACTGTTGGAAACTACTCTTCCTTGTCTCAGGAAGACAGTTTTTGGAAAAGATCCACTGGAGTGACGGCATAGCTGTAAAAGTCTTGCTGACCAAAACTCTGCAGTGGTGTTGCTGATGAGCTGCTATGAGCATAGGAAGCTTTTGCAGCACCGTAACTGTTGCCTTCACAAGAACATTTGTGCAGACCAGGCTTGAGTGTGATGTATCTCCAGCTGTCAGGCCTTGTGAGTTAGCATGCAGGCTTACTATGAGCTTCAGAGAAATGGGAAGATCTTAGTATTAAAACTTATAATTATACTTAAACTGGTATTGAGCAGTGATTTATTTATGGAAGTGGGGGGAGGGAAGTGGGCTGTTGATCTATGAGCATTTAAAGGTAATTTTTTCAAGACTTTTAAGTGCATGCAAATGACTAATCTCAAAGTGCTGCCCCTGCTAAGCAAAACAACAGCATTTCCTTGTCTTGGAGCACAGTTGAAATAATCTTGATCCTGGGGTTAAAGTACACTGTACTTTCAAGTACTGCATATTGAAGTTCCAGTTAATGCTTTCAGTTCCTTCCTTTCACTTGTTTATTAGTAACAACGATTAGTTAGAATTTTAACTGCTTACCTACAGCTTGATGTATTCAAGGTTGAATCTGCAAGAAGTGAGGCAAGATTCTGTCTAGGTTATTTTGAACCCAAGTCAAGACTTTCTCCTATGCCCTTAGATCTTTTTGCTAGTCTGTGTTTGGCTCTTGGTGATTGTTTTGTTTTCCTCTGGGGCTCAGCTTCTGATATTAATTGAAGCCTAGAGCCTCTTAATTTGTATTTCTGCCTTTTCTGTGGAGTTCTGTAGGTGGATGGTTGTTTCATGATCATTCCCTGTTGCTATGAGAATTTCAGCTGTAGTCTTGAAGTATAACAAGTCTAAAGATGCAGTTGATAACATGGAAAGGGTCTTTACTCAGCTTTGCAACACTGCCCTTGCCCAGTGCTACCACTGCGAAGACAAGGAAGCAGGTAGTTATTTATCTTTGAAATATGTTAACAGTTCAGTTGCCTGAAACAAAACATAGAGGAAGCTCGTTTTTGTTAAAACTTGATACCAAAAAAAATACAGAATTAAAGTTGACAGAGTGAGGTCTTTGTGACTGATGCAAAGAAAAAAGGGCTTCTTTCTCCTTTTAAGTGGGAGATGGCAGTGACCACACTTACGTGAAACCCAGAAAGGTGTTTGCAAGTTGTACTGGTTCAAAGTGCTTTGGACACCTAATCAGGAAATAACAGGAAATCCACCTTGTGACTTCAGTAGAGGTTTTCTTAAGGTTGTGGAGTCTTGGTGGATTTAAGTGTTAATGAGGTGGAAGCTGGCACCTGCCAACTAAGCTACCTCTAGAAGCTGAAGGAATTTTAAACGGCTTAAAAAGTTCTGCATTCTAGCGATATGAGTGTGGTTTTGCTCAAAATGAGGCACAGCTCTGAAAAACAAAGCCACGACTTGAATTTTTTTGCCTCATGGTGTTTCCAAATACCTAGAGCGAGGGGGAAGTGTCCCCTGAGGGGCAGGGGGGGCACTGCCCAGTGCTGCAGCTCTGCTAAGCGGCTAGATCGGGC